AGGATAGTGTATGTGGGAAAAAAAAAAGCTGGGGCCCCCTGTTGCCGGTATTCTGCGCCACCCTGGCCTTTAGACATTGCTAATAGAGACCTCGAGCTCGTGGAGATCCTTCTGCAGCTCGGCGTACTTCTTAGCCATCTCCTCATACTTGCTCTCCCATTGGTCGCGAGACGCTTCGAGGGCCTGCACCTTGCGCTCGTAGTGACCAGCCTTGACGTCGGTTTGGCGGAGCCTTGAGAAGTACCAAGGTAGTCAGCATCAACCTCCCCTCATCTCAATAGGCAAAGGGTGTGAGTAGTACATACTTCTCGTTCGTCTCGCGCAAGTTCTTGTCGGCATCCTCGGCCTCCTCTTCCAGAAGCTGGAGACGTCTCTGGAGAGCTTCGTTCTGGGTATCGTGCTGAGCACCCTGGTTGGCAGCGTCCTTGGCCTCCTTAAGGGCAGTCTCAAGCTTCTCCACCTCACCCTCCAGAAGCTGGTTCCGGTGGTTGAGGGATGTAATTTCCTGCTCCTTGGCCAAGTTCTCCTGCTCCAACGTCTTCACCTTGGTCTTGAGTTCTTCGACCTTCTCCTGAGCCTCCTCAGCCTCCAGGCGGAGGTTGTTCATTCTCTAGACCAGCCAAGGTCAGTGTGCATCTCAGGAAAGTTTATTTTGCTTTTTCCATTTATGAGAAATATCCTGCGGCAGAAATATGCAGGATCAAGATGGTGAGGCAAGGACGATAGGTGGTGTGCATGTGGACATTCGGGGCAGCAGCTTGTAAGCTACCCCGCCAACAGGGGGGGGTAAGAGGGGGAAAGGTTGACACTCACCTCCTTAATCTTATCCATTTTGAGTAAGTTATTTGCAACGAGAAAGTATGTACGAAGTGGAAGAGAGTAGGATGTAAGCAGCAACAACAGGCTTTCGCTCAGCGAGAAACCAGGGAAAGAGGACAGAGAAGTGATTGATGCAAGAAGATAGTTTGGACAGATGGGAATAATAGGGAGGAAAGAAAGGGAAGTGGAGGAGGAGGCCTTAAGGTAAGGTTGACTTTCTGGCCTGGCGCTGGCGGTCAGCCGCTAGCACAACTAGCGGGTTGGGTCTTAGCCGATCTGGTATAGGGGCCGTGGCTGACGGGCAAGCGACCGTAGAACCACTGTGTGGCTTTCCCCTTTCACCAGCCCCGTCTCCACGGGCAACCGCCTCGCAAACACCCTTTCTCACCACCCCTCCCCATCCTGGCTGTTCGTCATGTCCGCGTCTAGAACCACTTCGACTGCTCGACAGCCATCTCTTGCTCCAGACTCGTTGCTGGCAAGGGTCTTCGTATTCGAAACTTCGACACTTCGACAAATTCACACCGATCCGGGTTCTCGCCTTTGAATGCGCTGTCGTGACTCGTAAGCCGCCGCCATGTTGGCTCTTCGCGACCAAGAGAACCTGGTGCATAATCACCAAACGGTCGCCGCATCAAAAACCATGAATCAGGGCTTGAGACACCTACAGCCGAAGACACCCGGAGCGCGAGCACCCAAAACGCCCTTCAAGATTCCATTGAACGACGAAAATGATCCGCTGGCTTTCGGAAAAAAGACTGTCAAGGGAGCAGGTAAACAGAAGGAAAGCATCAAAGATGCCTTTATGACTCCACTAGGTATGGCAGAGATGCTATATTTCTACAACAGAAGCCGACCCATGTACTAATATGACGCGTCTTGTTCCCAGCTGACCCCCGTCAACGCGCCCCCTTGGGCATGAAAACCACCAATGCCAAAGCTAGAGGCCTACAGACCCCCGCCCCGCCCGGAGGCACCGCGAAGCCAGAGAGGTCTCTCAAAAGGGGCTCGACCCAGAGGGTGAAGAAGTTTTCCCCTTTCATCGAACAGGCGCAGCCAGAAACACACACCAAGCATGTGCAGGATGACGTTCCCGATATTGAGTACATGCCGCCCAAGCCTAAAGGTTGGTCACTCACTTACTAGTACCAATCTATGATATCTAACAGTAGCAGATCTTCCGGACTACCCTGAGGAAATTACCTACGATACCACGTTCCCTCAGTTTCAAGGGAGGAACCTTGCACGCGGGTTAGAAAGCGTGTATGGAGCTGATAATGAGATCGGACCTGATGGATTGACTAGAAGAGAGCGCAAATTCCAGAAAGATTCATCAGCTTGTGACAAGCTGATCGATGATATAATCCTGAAGCAGGTTGAGAGCATCGGCTTCGAAGAGCCGTCTGAAACAGAACAACTGGAGGAGCCTGCTGTGGAAGAGACGGTGAAACGCCGTGTCGGAACCCGCCGTACTAGAGCGTCTGCGGGTCTCACCAAAGGCACCAGCAATGTTTCCACCGTACGTGCTCGTGATGCCGCTACCGCCCTCTCTGGGACATACCGATCGGTTCCCCGCACCCGATCAGCTGCTTTGGCCAAACCAAGGACAAGGATGGCCACCTCCTTGTTTCCTACCAAAACGCCCCGAGCCCCAGACAACCCGTCAAGCATGTATCACACCGCAGCTGAAGCCAATTCCAAAACGACTCTGGGATACACTCGAGGCCGCGAGGTATCATCTAGGATGAGTAGCAGAACAGCTACCCCCGTCGAGCAGGACCCGGCCCCGAAGGGCATTTTATCTCCAGAAACTTACTTGCATCCTTCTGGCACGTTGTCTTTGGCCGATGGACTTCCCATCTTGGTTGCTGAAGAGTACCTTCCAGTTTACGATGAAGATGTGGAAGCTCGGGATTTTCAATTGACGCTGTGAGAGCAGATTAGCATAAGGGAACAAAGGGTCTACATTCCAGGGAGAGGCTAGGTGTCTGGGTGGGTTTATTATTGTTTCGGTGGGTGCACGGTGTTTCAGATGGTGCTTGCTTTTGGTCCGTCTGCTTTTTACTCTGTGGTTGGTGTGATTCTCTTGTTGAACTTGTTGAACAAACCATGGTTGGCAAACAATCGATGTGCAGACCGCAGCGTGGAAGGTTTCCAGGGGCGTTTTGTATGAAGTGATTTGATGATTATGATTACATGCAGCATTTAGCTTATGAGACTTTTTATGACGCGGGGAAATGGGAGCTAAAGAGATCGACAGGCCAGGCCATTAAGTTACTGAGTAGCATTAGGTGCATCCAGCATGCATCAACTTAACTAATCTTTATGTACAGTAACTAACTACTGCACATACTCAAAAAAGTATGTTACAGTAATGTCATCTGGATGGACACGGTATCCTCGGAATCAGTCGTCATCAGACGATGGAGAAGCCCTTTAAGTGGCCACGACACCCATTACTAAGAATACGATGCGGCTGGTTATTCGCCTGGCAGCGTTTCAGGAGGGTGTGACGCTGTGTGCTTACCGTGGATGCATCGGTCTGGGTCCCGAACCTCAATCTCCATCGGATTTCCCTGCCGGGCGCATAATTGGAACAATAATAAATAGTTACCTAGTATTGGTAGTGTACCTTGGCCAGGAGCTTGCAACAGTCTAGCCTCACCAAAGACATCAGATTAGAACTTAGTAGACCACCAGCCTCTTCTCACCGCTTCTCTTTCTCTTTCTCTTTCACCCTTGCGAACAGCCCTAGAACAACTGACGAAGCACTAGACCCAAATGAAGTCAAGCTATCTTTGGCGTAACTTAGGCGCACTGTACATGTACCTGGAGCTTCTATCCATCCATCTGACTATTGTTGTTCAACAATTGGTACCAAGCAGAACCATCTTTAAGCATAGCTTATTGCTACCAATTGGTGAAAGACCACTTTAGGAATTGTTTTGACGTGTAAAGTAGAGATGCGCCTACACAATCTGTACCATATTGAGTCGAGTGATAAATAAATGAATAATGTTGTTGACGAAAGGGATCCGATGCTGCTCCTCCCCAATCTAGCAATCCATCCACATCCACCACATCCACCACATCCACTCCCGCTGCCGTCCAGACACTCGCCGCTCTCCCTCCCTCTTTTCCCATCCTTCCCTTTCGTCCTCTTCCTCTTTTCTTTCCCTTCTCCCCC